TGGTCTGTTGTTGACGTAGGTCGAAGCCACTAGCCACGCCATTCATATATTAATTATGCAGAACAACATCCGCATCCCGTAATGCTGAAGCATGGGCGTACAAATAAACTTTAATTTTGCTTCGTTATATATGCCTCTAGGCTCTACTAGCGACATACTACGCCATTCATGCGGCAAAACCTTGCTGTTTCTATAAACAGCTTGGACCGAAGCACCTAGTTAACAAAAGAAAGAAAGAATAAACAACTGCTTCATTCTTATACATCGACGGTATTTATTAAAGCCGAGGTGAGCAATTGAAGTGGAACAATGACCAGCAACTCTGTGAGGCTTCCACAGTTGGCAGGGTTTCCCAGCTCCACATTCAAATGCCGTGGCGAGGTAGAGAGAGAGAGCCGAAGGGCACCGTTCAATGGTGATTGTGAGAAGTGTAAATCAAATAGTTATGTGTGGTAAACTATGTCCTTGTACCGGATTATTATTTATTTTGTCAGCTTTCTAGAGTGATTCTATTTTCGATTCAAATTATCATCGGTGAGCCGGGCGCGGACTAGTCGAGTTGTGAGTCCATTGTGTCGTTTGTAACAAACGCTGCTTACCGTGGCACCCGGACCTAAGGTCACATATTCCTCCATTTGGATAAAATTTCTTTCAGAAATAATGAAATATTTATTACCCATCATTACTGTCATGTTGTCATCCCTCTTTGCTGCGGAGAATCCCACCCTTCCTGCGGCGTCCCTCACCCATCCCTATAACTACTGTGACCCCCACCCATTCATTCTGCGATGTCCCCCATCCATCTCTCCTGTAGTATCCCTCGCCCCTCCCTATACAGCGGTGACTCCCTCAGCCCTCCATGTTGCGTTGACTTCCACCCCTCCCGCGGCGGTGTCATACACTGGTCGTTGGCTCGTTGTGTTCGTGTTCCCCTTCCGTTCGGTGGTGTCATACATTGGTCGTTGGCTCGTGGTGCTCGGCCCCCGCATGAGGAGCCGCTGTGGCGTGACAGATGCTCCGGGGACCGGTCACGATTCGGAGAGCCCGACCCTTTGGCCGACGGCGCCATCGCCTCATTACCACTGGCCGCGGTCCCCTCCCCAGTCCCCAGTTCCAGGACACCCTATCGATACAGACCGTACACATCAGCCCGACTGCGCTGTCCTTTACACTGCTCGTTCCAGGCATGAAGGCAAAAAATTGCTGTAAAACCAGCGTAAGATAATTATAGCTGAAATGTGATTTTCCCTAGTTTGCAGACAGAGTTTAGCATCATAAACAAGAGATAAGCTGCGAAGCAGTTTTTAAAAGTTTTTGAAAACAGCGCCTACACAGAGTGACTTTTCAGGTGCATCGATAACAATAACTGGTAAACGAAAAAAAAAAAAAACGAAAAAAAACGACGAAAACACAAAGAGACATCAAGGTTTGACTCACAAAAGTTAAACCAGCCACAGGAAAACCGCTGTTGTGAAACAATATCAGTAACGACTACGACTGCTTTCTATTTTTCACACTCGCGGCTAGTTTTTTCATTGGGGCTGCCAAACATCAGATGCGACTCGAGGCAGAAAGTAACCGAAGTCGGCAATTTTTCTGTGGATGAAACTGACCTAAAACTTAGATTCAGACCTATCCATGGCTCAAGCTCTGGTCAGGAGGCCAAATGGCCGTTCAACTTTTCAGTTTCATCTCAGTTCATTTATCAATAGCAACAAAATAGATAATTTCATCAATGGTGGCTCGGCGCACAAGTTGAACTCAAAACAAAGTGTCTAATAAGATTAGATTACGCTGTCGCGGAGCTGAGACCAGTTGAGGTCAAACCCGCCAACTGCCAGCCGAACTCTGATATTTTTGGACTTCCGAGAGTCGAGACGTCCTGTCGTTCACGAAGCTCACAAAGTCAAGCGGAACAGTCTTGGGTATGTAAATAGAGTGAATAACCTTATGCTCATGTTATATGTTGCAAATTGATATAATTAAAACTAAATTGATATCTTTCGATATTGCACCGTCATCAGAATAAGAATTTTTTTTTAATTTTTTTTAATTTTTTTGAATTTTTTTAATTTTCTTATTCTGATGACGGTGCAATATCGAAATATATCAATTTAGTTTTAATTATATCAATTTGCAACATATAACATGAGCATAAGGTTATTCACTCTATTTACATTATTAATCATGCTCAGAAATACCATAGCTTACCTCCAAGCAGTCTTGGGTAGTGTGAATTCGCAGAGTCTCATTGCCACACGCTGGCAGTTGGCGGCTCAGTGAGGAGGGGGGGGGGGGGTAGTGCATGTCGTGTATTTGCCCTTCCCATAACGCTGGAAATCGAGAGCATTTGTCATTTTCCTTGCAAAAAAAAAAAAATTATGTAAAAAACGCCTCTCAATGCACGGCAAGGCACAAAAAAGCACTGCGGTTTTTAAAACTTATACAATTTTAGACTATACCCCACAGTCTCTCAAACTGCTTCCTGGTCCCACCAATG